CGGGGCCAGGAGCTGTGACTCGACCCCTGCAACACAAATAGGTGAGTACAAATAGGTAGTACACACACAGCACACACAGACACACACACACACACAGACACACACCATACACACCAACACATACACACACACAACACACACACACACACACAACACACACACACATATCAGAATTACTGGTATGTATTACAGTATCCCCATCATACACACATACACACACACACACACGATGCATATGCACATACACACATACTATACACACACACACATTCACACACACACACACACACACACACACACACAACAACAATCCAACAACACACACACAGCATACACAGCCATACACACGATACACATACAACATACGACACAACATACACACATACACACCATACACACACATACTATACACACATACACACACATACACACACACACATACAAGTCACATACACACACGAGTTACAGTCACAAACATTGACCAACACACACACCACACAACCACACACCTGATTGTAGTGGAGGCAGGATCCATACCATACTATTAAGCAGAGGTTAGATAAAGCCACGTTCAGGGACAGTACCTACCTCCAGTAGCGATCAGTGAAGAGGCGGGGCCAGGAGCTCGTGACTCCAACCCCCGCAACACTCAACTAGGTGAGTACACACAACACACACACAACACACAAACTTAAGAATGTGTGAGGTCAAGCACCAGGGAAGGATGGGGATCAGTCACAAGAAGTTTGGGCAGCAAGGACCATAAGAGACTCTATATTAAACGCAACAAGCCACCTACCTTTCAGTACATAATAAACCAACATAATTCCACAAAATTACACACGCACACAGACACACTCGTTACCATCCCCTCCCCACCCTAACACTCCTCCCAACAAAGCACAGTTCCTCCACTACACCCCCCGACTACTACTCTGCATACACAACTACTAACATAAATACAGAAACACATAGGTTCTCCACTCTGGAGAGGCCAATCAGGACAAAACAAAAATGGTTTGGAGAGCCAACAAGACAAACAGGCCAGGAGGAGGAAACTGCAAAGGAAAGATTGGCAGCGCCATGAGCTCAAATAATAGCGATAATGAATGGGAAAGAACTCTAGAAAGAACTTAGCATGAGAATGGATAAGAGGATAGACATGGAAAGCAGGAAGGTGGAGGTGTCATGTCAAAGGCAGCAGAGGATAGGATACAGAGTTTGAAGAGGAACGAAAAATTAAAACAGCAAAGAAACTAAAGACATTTGGATTGACAACAGAGCATACCTCAGCCAACGAAATAAGGGGACGTAAAGGGAAAGAAGCGGCACAATGCATGAGAGCTCTTCAGCAGGAGACTGTAAGATATGAAGAGCTAGCTTATGTGGAAGGCCCTAACAGACAACAACAGAGCCCAAGGAAAGCGAGAAGGAAAATGCAGACCACTGAGCCAAATATTAGCAGTGAAACTGAAGAAAGGAAAGCTGCAGTGGAGGAAACAAATTAAATGAGAGGATACACAGGGAATATACAATGGGAGAATGACAAGGGGTGAGGTCAGTCTTTGTGTATGGGCTCCAGAAGTTGTAGGGAACATTATGAAGCAGAATAAGCAAAGGGAAAAAAAAGCATTGAAAGCTCCATGAAACGCATAGGAGAAGACACAATGACCCAGTGGAAATTTTCGGGGGAGACAGAAAATAAGGGGGTTTGTAACAAAAGAAGCCGGCAGTGAAAGTACCTTCAAGGCAATAGCGACTCGGTAACAGGTATCCCTGCAGGAGAAATGCACATTAAGGGACATGCCAGCCATACAGGAAGTGTATCTCGACACGCGCACAGACACAAGAAGAAAGGCAGAAACGAGAGAGATGATACAAAGGCGAAAGGAGGAAAGAGAGCGGGATGCGAGAAAACACGACAGGAGATACCAGACACAGGACAGAAGATCAAAACATGGACCCCCGGTTAATGATATTTTTTCATCAGAGTATGTTCAGGTGCACAAACTGACCGAATTGTCCCATAAGGAATATGTAAGTAGATTAGTCCATTCAGACCCCCAAACATACACGTACAAACACGCACTTCTAAATACACTTACATATTGGTACATTCGCAGGTGATCGTTATGCGGGGGCATGCCAATTCAGCTCTCCCACAACACAACACAACACACCACACACACAAATATCCAGAATTACTAGGTATGTATTAACAGTATCTCAACCTCATACACACACATACACACACTCAGCACACGTGCATATGCACATACACACACATATATAACTCACACACACACAGATCATACACACAGCAATCACACACTTCACACAGACACACACAACGACTAGACATCCACAGAACACTAACACAGACACACACACACTCATCACACACACAGACAGATCACACAGACAACAACACAACACAAACAAGAGATCAACAAGACACACACGACACAGACACCCAACAGACACAGACAACACAGGTTACAAACTACAGACACACACACAGACAACACACAGTCACACATACACTCTCTTTTCTCTCTCTCTGTTTCTAAAGCATGATTCCTTGATGCAGCAATGCCAATATTTCATTTCATTAATAACTGACAGTATTGTATTACCTGTAAGTGCATGCATTGTATAAGATTTTGATGTACTTGATCAACCTTGTTATGAGCATATACAGCTTAATATGCATTTGCTCTTTCAGCCCATCTTTGCATTGAAAACATATATTTTCTCAAAAAGTATTTGCCAGTGTATATTTTTTTTGTATATGTGGTAATTTTTTGGGTTTTCTCAATTATAATGCTACTGTAACGTGTATCTTATAAATTCTGCTAGTGAATATACATCAGCTAATTTCGTCTCAGTTACCTATGACATGAAGATGTTTCAACAAATTTGGAATCATTGCCAAAACAGAAGAGATGTGAGGAAAGAGACCCATCACTTCTGAGAAATGAGCCTGCTAATTTTTATAAGTGGTAATTTTACTTGTATGGAGTTTTATACATGGCTAGAGTTAATGATACTTAAGAGAAGTTCTGAATCCAAGTGGGTTATTCAATGCAAGGTGGGGTGAAAGCTTAGATCATTTGTCCAATAATTCATGAGAACAGTTTGAACACCTTACATCATTCACCCACTCATAGAGGATTTCATTTTAGCTTCTATAATACTTGTCATTAGCAATCAACTCACTCATTTTAAATTTTTATTGGCTTGTATTATCATTTAGAATACATGAGATATTTTATTGTACTGTTCCATTTTGTCTTGTTTTTTTCACACACTGATCATTCTGCAAATAACGACATACTAGTGTATTTCAGATTGTAACAGAAAAAATGCAGTAAGACCAAAAGAGGAAATGGATTTGTTGGTGAAGTGATGGATAAAGAGATAGAGGTGTTTGAAAGAAGGAAAATATTTCTCAAAATTATTGAATGTAGATGATGAGGAATGACCCCCTTTTACTGTCTCTGATGTAGAGCTATGGTATTGATGCTAATGTCGCTCACGTAAATCTTTCTTAATCGGAGTGATTAAGAAAGATCACACATGATGGGGGTTGGCAAATTTTGGCCTAGACATGAAAGAATGGGTTTGTCTGGTGGGTGATGGGAACAATGAACATGATGGGTACATTAAACATTTGATCTTGTACTTCAGTTAAAAGAATAAGGTGGATTTCATGATTTTATTGTCTGTTTCTTGGTATCACTTGATAGACTGGAAAACATTACTAGTGAAATGAAGGTGATTTTGGTCAGTTTCAAACTGAATATGGCCTGAAATCGGCCTCCAATTACCAGAAATATCCTATTTTTAGCAGTTTTTCTGAGGAAAGGTAGAGAACCCACATCATCCCCCTGCTGTGTTTTCTGGGGTTTTGCTAGCCTGCTTCAATTATTTGGATGTTTTAAATCACACTCAATCATTCTTAGTTATATTTTATTAGCTGAGAAATGAGGTAAATTTTTTTTTTGTGTGTGATGGATATAAAATGAAGAGCCAAGTGCTATATAGGAGAGGGCTGAGTACATGAGTAGTGAACAGAAGAAAGGTTACTTTAGTGGTTGGAATGCCTTGTGTGTTCATTTTTGTCCAATGTTTATAAACTGAAATTTGTTGAATTTTGTGTAAAATTGTCCAAATTACCAGCTTCTGGTGGACTTGTAGGATAATTCTGGTAGTTGAATGGGCAGTTTCTTGTGCTCATTTGATAGAATGGAAGGCATACTAGCAAAAAAGCCAGGAATTGGGTCATTTGGATTTGGCCTAAAATAAGTCTCAAAGTGGGTGAAATCTCTGATGCATAAATTTTGCCTAGACTGGCAATATTTTTTGGTATCATTACCCTCAGAAAAAAATTATCTGCCATTTAAATAAAAATTTTCTTGAAAAATTGCAAGTCAGCACTTTTAATTTCTGGGGTCAGGGCAGTGAAAGGGTTAAGGGAATGAGTGAATCAGTTAAAAGGATGAAAGTTGGAAAATCTGTAAGGATGGATGGTGTTAAGACAAAAATGTTAACAGCTGGAGGGGATAAAAGATTGGCATGTTGAGTACATTTGTTTAATGTGCATGGGAAAAAAAAGGGAAGGTATCTCAAGTGTAATTGTCTCCACTTACTCCTATCTAACATGCTTACACAGACCTTCTGGATGGTCAAGCCCTTACCACTCAAAGCCTCATTTACTCTCCCCCCCCCCCTCTCTCTGACTGTTTCTGGGACAACTCTTATGTCTACCTTCCACCCCAGATTTATATACCCCCCTTCATCCTCTGTGAATGCTGAACTCACCTCAGCATCCTCTCCTCAGCTCTGAATTATACACAGTTTTATTTTCTACACACCAAAACTGCATAATATTGAGCTTCCTTCATACATCTTCACCCTCAAAAAAGTTTTTCTATTGACACTAACCAGCTGATATTAAAATGAGACTCCTGGTACTCATGTGTTTCTTTTTTAACCAGCCCAAGTGGACAAGCATTCAACTCTTGGATTTAAAAAAATGGACTACAAACATGATTTAGAAGAATGTGAGGGAAGTCTTGATGATGAAGTTCTTTGTCAGACCAACAATGTCCTGCCAGTACATGCTCCTGTAGTAGCACCAACTGATGCAAATAAGAAGAGTGCTATTAATTTCCATGCAATAGAAATCAAGACAGGAAGTGTCAATATATGTGTTATTGATGACTGTGGTGACTGTGATGTACCTCTGCTAGAAATTTCACTCTCGCACTTGGGCCTAAAGCAGGTGAAGACTTGACTGCCTTGAAAATTTGACTTTACACTGTACACTATTTCAACCCTAATGATAACTACCAGTATATTGATGTACTCTATTTTTTTTTAACAATTGAAGGGTATATATTATTAGTCATAGGGTTTAATTGGAAAGGGAATGTAAGAGGCTAAATGAAGCTCAAAATAGTGTTACACTGGGATGTGCAAGAAACTAATACTGTAGCTAGTGGACTTAAACTAGGTAGCTCCTTGACTAAAAATATTTGAATATCAAGTTAGGATGGCGTTGAACTCTAGATGGGGGTGTGTGAAATGGGGTGTTAGTGAAACACAGTGTAATAAATAATAAAATTCATGTTCTTAACAGTAAATAACAACTAGTAGTAGTCTCATAAATAGAGGTGTACCAAAGCATTGGTATCAGTATCAGGTAACGACTAATTTTGGTGTTATCGGTGTCACAAGGTATTGGCTAATTTTGATGGTATTGGTAACAATCTCAGCTAATGAGTTGTAGGCTGGTAGACAGCAGCCACCCAGGGAGGTACTACCGTCCTGCCAAGTGAGCGTACAACGAAAGCCTGTAATTGTTTTACATGATGGTAGGATTGCTGATGTCTTTTGTCTGTCTCATAAATATGCAAGATTACAGGTATGTCTTGCTACTTCTACTTACACTTAGGTCACACTACACATACATGTACACATTTATTTATACACACTCATCTGAGTTTTCTTTGATTTTATCTTAATAGTTCTTGGTCTTATTACTTTTCCTTTTATATCCATGGGGAACGGGAATAAGAATCTTTCCTCCGTAAGCCATGCATGTTGTAAAAGTCAACTAAAATGCCAGGAACAATGGGCTGGTAACCCCTTTTCCTGTAAAGATTACTGAAAAGAATAAGAAGAAGAAAATTGTCAAAGTGGGAAGTCTGAATGTGCGTGGATGTTGTGCAAATGATAAGAAAGAGATGATTGTGGATGTTATGAATGAGAAGAAGCTGGATGTCCTGGCTTTAAGTGAAACAAAGCTGAAGGGGGTGGGAGAGTTTCAATGGAGAGGAATAAATGGGATTAGGTCAGGGGTTTCAAATAGAGTTAGAGCTAAAGAAGGAGTAGCAATAATGTTGAAGGATAAGCTATGGCAGGAAAAGAGGGACTATAAATGTATTAATTCAAGGATTATGTGGAGTAAAATAAAGATTGGATGTGAAAAGTGGGTTATAATAAGTGTGTATGCACCTGGAGAAGAGAAAGTGTAGAGGAGAGAGAGAGATTTTGGGAAATGTTGAGTGAATGCGTGGGGAGTTTTGAATCAAGTGTGAGAGTAATGGTGGTTGGGGATTTCAATGCTAAAGTGGGTAAAAATGTTATGGAGGGAGTAGTAGGTAAATTTGGGGTGCCAGGGGTAAATGTAAATGGGGAGCCTTTAATTGAGCTATGTGTAGAAAGAGATTTGGTAATAAGTAATACATATTTTATGAAAAAGAGGATAAATAAATATACAAGGTATGATGTAGCACGTAATGAAAGTAGTTTATTAGATTATGTATTGGTGGATAAAAGGTTGATGGGTAGGCTCCAGGATGTACATGTTTATAGAGGGGCAACTGATATATCAGATCATTATTTAGTTGTAGCTACAGTTAGAGTAAGAGATAGATGGGAAAAGAGGAAGGTGGCAACAACAATAAGAGGGAGGTGAAAGTGTATAAACTAAGGGAGGAGGAAGTTCGGGTGAGATATAAGCGACTATTGGCAGAAAGGTGGGCTAGTGCAAAGATGAGTAGTGGGGGGGTTGAAGAGGGTTGGAATAGTTTTAAAAATGCAGTATTAGAATGTGGGGCAGAAGTTTGTGGTTATAGGAGGGTGGGGGCAGGAGGAAAGAGGAGTGATTGGTGGAATGATGAAGTAAAGGGTGTGATAAAGAGAAAAAGGTAGCTTATGAGAGGTTTTTACAAAGCAGAAGTGTTATAAGAAGAGCAGAGTATATGGAGAGTAAAAGAAAGGTAAAGAGAGTGGTGAGAGAGTGCAAAAGGAGAGCAGATGATAGAGTGGCAGAGGCACTGTCAAGAAATTTTAATGAAAATAAGAAAAAATTTTGGAGTGAGTTAAACAAGTTAAGAAAGCCTAGGGAAAGTATGGATTTGTCAGTTAAAAACAGAGTAGGGGAGTTAGTAGATGGGGAGATGGAGGTATTAGGTAGATGGCGAGAATATTTTGAGGAACTTCTAAATGTTAAGGAAGAAAGAGAGGCAGTAATTTCATGCACTGGTCAGGGAGGTATACCATCTTTTAGGAGTGAAGAAGAGCAGAATGTAAGTGTGGGGGAGGTACGTGAGGCATTACGTAGAATGAAAAGGGGTAAAGCAGCTGGAACTGATGGGATCATGACAGAAATGTTAAAAGCAGGGGGGGATATAGTGTTGGAGTGGTTGGTACTTTTGTTTAATAATTGTATGAAAGAGGGGAAGGTACCTAGGGATTGGCGGAGAGCATGTAGAGTCCCTTTATATAAAGGGAAAGGGGACAAAAGAGATTGTAAAAATTATAGAGGAATAAGTTTACTGAGTATACCAGGAAAAGTATATGGTAGGGTTATAATTGAAAGAATTAGAGGTAAGACAGAATGTAGGATTGCGGATGAGCAAGGAGGTTTCAGAGTGGGTAGGGGATGTGTAGATCAAGTGTTTACATTGAAGCATATATGTGAACAGTATTTAGATAAAGGTAGAGAAGTTTTTATTGCATTTATGGATTTAGAAAAGGCATATGATAGAGTGGATAGAGGAACAATGTGGCAGATGTTGCAAGTATATGGAATAGGTGGTAAGTTATTAAATGCTGTAAAGAGTTTTTATGAGGATAGTGAGGCTCAGGTTAGGGTGTGTAGAAGAGAGGGAGACTACTTCCCGGTAAAAGTAGGTCTTAGACAGGGATGTGTTATGTCACCATGGTTGTTTAATATATTTATAGATGGGGTTGTAAAGGAAGTAAATGCTAGGGTATTCGGGAGAGGGGTGGGATTAAATTATGGGGAATCAAATTCAAAATGGGAATTGACACAGTTACTTTTTGCTGATGATACTGTGCTTATGGGAGATTCTAAAGAAAAATTGCAAAGGTTAGTGGATGAGTTTGGGAATGTGTGTAAAGGTAGAAAGTTGAAAGTGAACATAGAAAAGAGTAAGGTGATGAGGGTGTCAAATGATTTAGATAAAGAAAAATTGGATATCAAATTGGGGAGGAGGAGTATGGAAGAAGTGAATGTTTTCAGATACTTGGGAGTTGACGTGTCGGCGGATGGATTTATGAAGGATGAGGTTAATCATAGAATTGATGAGGGAAAAAAGGTGAGTGGTGCGTTGAGGTATATGTGGAGTCAAAAAACGTTATCTATGGAGGCAAAGAAGGGAATGTATGAAAGTATAGTAGTACCAACACTCTTATATGGGTGTGAAGCTTGGGTGGTAAATGCAGCAGCGAGGAGACGGTTGGAGGCAGCGGAGATGTCCTGTTTAAGGGCAATGTGTGGTGTAAATATTATGCAGAAAATTCGGAGTGTGGAAATTAGGAGAAGGTGTGGAGTTAATAAAAGTATTAGTCAGAGGGCAGAAGAGGGGTTGTTGAGGTGGTTTGGTCATTTAGAGAGAATGGATCACAGTAGAATGACATGGAAAGCATATAAATCTATAGGGGAAGGAAGGCGGGGTAGGGGTCGTCCTCGAAAGGGTTGGAGAGAGGGGGTAAAGGAGGTTTTGTGGGTGAGGGGCTTGGACTTCCAGCAAGCGTGCGTGAGCGTGTTAGATAGGAGTGAATGGAGACGAATGGTACTTGGGACCTGACGATCTGTTGGAGTGTGAGCAGGGTAATATTTAGTGAAGGGATTCAGGGAAACCGGTTATTTTCATATAGTCGGACTTGAGCCCTGGAAATGGGAAGTACAATGCCTGCACTTTAAAGGAGGGGTTTTGGGATATTGGCAGTTTGGAGGGATATGTTGTGTATCTTTATATGTTTATGCTTCTAGACTGTTGTATTCTGAGCACCTCTGCAAAAACAGTGATAATGTGCGAGTGTGGTGAAAGTGTTGAATGATGATGAAAGTATTTTCTTTTTGGGGATTTTCTTTCTTTTTTGGGTCACCCTGCCTCGGTGGGAGACGGCCGACTTGTTGAAAAAAAAAAAAAAAAAAAAAAAAAATAATTTTTTTTTTTTTTTTTTTTTTTTTTTTTTAACATGTCAGCCATCTCCCACTGAGGCAGGGTGACCAAAAAGAGGAAAACACTTTCATTATCATTCACACAATATCACTGTCTTTGCAGAGGTACTCAGATATGACTGTTTAGATGTCACTCCTAACAGCCAATATCCCAAACCCCCTCCTTTAAAGTACAGGCATTGTGCTTCCCACCTCCAGGACTCAAGTCTGATCAACTGGTTTTCCTGAATCCCTTCACAAAATATTACCCTGCTCACGCTCGAACAGCTCGTCAGGTCCCAAAAACCATTCGTCTCCAATCACTCCTATATAACACGCTCACATGTTCTTCCTATATATACATGCATGCTTCCTATATATATTCACATACTCTCTGCTCGGGTAGATCTGTTCAATCTGATTAAGTGCAATGCATGGGTGAAACACTGTCAATAAAGGATAGCATTGTACTACATTTGTGTTTACTTTCTACAAGCTTTTATGTTTGTAATTAAAGGTATTGAAACTGTGGATTCATGCTTACCAAACATGTTATATTTTTTCAGGACTGGCAAGGGCAAGGTTCTGCAAGCTGCTCTTGCTCAGTTGATTACTATAACCGTGCTCTCTCTGGCTGGGAGCCATTTTTGGAACCCTGGCTGTAAGTTAAAATAAAATATTACTAATTATTTTTACTTTATTTTAAATTCTTTATGTAAATTATATAGCACATTTTTTTAAATCTGGTATTGATGACAGGACATCTTTCAGAGTCCCAAGATTTAAATCATTATGTACTAATTTGTGCAATGTATCCCCTAAGCAGTAAGCTTAACAAAGGCATTTTTCTTCTTTAATTTCTACCTTTCTTTTATTTATTTACTGCTCACCTGGTCATGGAAGCACTACTATCGAGAGGTTGCAAGGGCATCCTTTCCTCATTGATAAGTCTTTTGTGTACAGTACTTTCATACTGCATCTCTTCCTCATTATCTCCATTCTCTCCATCAACATACTAGTTTCACACTGTATGTTGTAGCATGTATTTTTCTGTCCTAGTTTGCTTAAGGTTGCGAGACAATCCTCATTCTTTTTACAATGTTTTTTCTCATTGGCAGGCAGTATTAACTGCCAGAGGGTATGGCCACCATGGAGGCACAAATCAACGTTATACTGACCCCCCTCAGCTGTCTTCCCATTAAATATGTACTCTACTGACATCTTTGAAAGTGTCATGAGCCTCTTTGAAGATGTCAAGTTGTGCTTAAAGATGTCAAGGCATCTTCAAAGGCACCAATAGTTTCTTTTACAATGTAGTTTGAATACACAGCTTTAACATTAGGCATGTTTCCTTACACCTGCTGCCTCTGTTCACCTAGCAGTGCTAGGTGACTATTATGGGTTGCATCCTGGGGGGGGTAGTATACATACTTTAGATAGGGCTGGGCTTTGAAATGAGCTGAGGTAGGATAACGGCTATTAGCCTGTAAAATTGACCTGTGTAAAAAAATGATCTAATCAGGTGATACCTAGTGGTTGAGGGTAATTAATAGTTTCAGATAATTGTATTAGACTGTTCTAGGATATGTTTTTGTAGCTTGATGTATTTTTTTTAAAAATCAAATGCAAATACACAGTTTTCATATTGTATGAAAACTAAGGTAAAAGAAAAACGAACTCTTATCTTGGCAAAACAAAATTGAAATATTTTTTTTTGTTTTTACTGAATATAAGAGACCCATTGAAGTGTATTTTGTGCTGTATTTGACTTCTCAAGTCTCGTCTTCCAATTTATTGGAAAGACTTCTTTTTTAAATCATTGGGTTTTCCTTCAGGTGTGAAGCAGAATGGAATAAAAGTCAGCCCGATGATCAAGGAGAACGACTGACTATAAACTTGAAGACTTATGATACTGTAAATGTTAACATCACCCACACACTACTGGAGCTCTACCAGATGGTGAAAAATAACTGGACATTAGACTATTATAACAGAGACAGGTATGGCTTATGTCAAGTTGGCACAGGATTCCATAGAACTGATTATTTTATACACCTTCCACAGACATTTTGAGGCACTCTGAAGGAGGGTGTGGGGATGTTGCAGTTCAGAAGGTTGTGTGAATTGTGATATCTGGATTTCTTGTAAGAGAGCTATTTATTGATCGATAGTGAATGTGTTTCCTTTTTTTGAGTCACTTTACCTTGTTGGGAGAGGGCCAGTGTATAAAGAAAATAATACATATTTTTTTTAACAAACCAGTCATATACCACCGAGGCAGGGTGACTTCAAAAGAAAAACAAAAGTTTTTCTTTTTAAATTTAGTAGTGTATACAGGAGAAGCAGTTACTAGCCCCTTGCTCCCAGCATTATATGTGATATAATTAATCTCTGATATCAGTAAATTATCATATTAATGCTCTAATAAAAAGTTATTTAATTATACAGGTTAGATGTAGAGTGCAGTTTGGTTTCAAATGCAAAAGGCTATTCATCAATGGTAGTTAGTCCTCGAGAATATCGCCGTCGTTCTCCATTTATACCCTTTGCTCTGAAGAATGACACTGGCTGTGACCTTTCATTTGCTACAGTGACATCTACACCAGATAGGTAAGTTGCTACATACAAGTTATTAGGGAACAAGAGGGTAGTGAATACCTCCAAGCTTAACCCTTTCATTGTTGAGACCCCTGCTCTCAGTGTCGAGGAATTTAAGAAAAAAAAATTATTTTTTCGTACGAAATGATAGAGAATCCTTTACCAATGATAATGACACCAAAGGTATGAAATTTGATGGAAAACTTATGAAATTACACTTTCGTGAAGTTAGCGGTCTCGGCGATATTTATGCATCAGTGATTTCGCCCACTTTGAGCCCTATATTCGGCCATTTCCATTGTTCCAGTTGACCAAACTCATAGCTATTTTGCTACAACTTCATTTGTTCAAGTAACTGCGTATAAGAAACCGTCCATTTACTGATTTCAACTACTCAATAAAGTGATCAGAAATTGGTAATTTGGCCAGTTTCATACACAATTCAAGTAAGGCCAATTTCTAAATAGGGTCCAGAATTAACAATACAAACATTCCTAGCACTAAAATAACATTTTTCTCTGTTCATTAGTCACATCTCCAGGCCCCTCTTATATTATGCTTGCTTTCCATTTTGAATTTTTATTCACACAAAAAATAGAAGATTTACTGTTATGCAGAATATTGCATTACTGTAAAAATGGTATAAATAATATCAGTGCATTTGTGAAAGCATATTAGACCCACCAGTTGACATGTACAGTAGGGCCCCGCTTTATGGCGTTTCGCCTCATGACGTTCCGCTAATATGGCAATTTCAAATTATGACCAAAACTTGCTATAAGGTGAGTGGTCTTTCAAATACAGTATGCCCCACCCAGTTTTTACATTCTTCGTGAGCTCATCTCTCTATTATGTCTGGAAGCTTTCCAAAATTTCAAGTGTTTTAAAGTTATTGCATATTTTATATGTACTCTGATAATTATACTTATGTGTACCTATACCTAAATATACTTACACACTGTGCTGGTGTGCAGGTACACATTAAAATCACTAAGAGTCTCTCTTATCTTAACACAATACGTAATCTCTCGGGCTCATTAAATGTCGTATCTTACGTTAATGCTGTAGACATTTCCATTAATTCATCTATGATATTTTTTCAAAATTATATAATAAACACACTATGTAACATATAAACATCATAAATACACCCCACAGTAGAATAAATTAACATAAATATATATAGGGGTCGTCCTTGAAAAGGTTGGAGGGAGGGGTTAAAGGAGGTTTTGTGGGCGAGGGGCTTGGACTTTCAGCAAGCGTGCGTGAGCGTGCTAGATAGGAGTGAATGAAGACGAATGGTATTTGGGACCTGACGAGCTGTTGGAGTGTGAGCAGGGTAATATTTAGTGAAGGGATTCAGGGAAACCGGTTATTTTATATAGCCGGACTTGAGTCCTGGAAATGGGAAGTACAATGCCTGCACTTTAAAGGAGGGGTTTGGGATATTGACAGTTTGGAGGGGTATGTTGTGTATCTTTATATGTATATACTTCTAAACTGTTGTATTCTGAGTACCTCTGCAAAAACAGTGATTGTGTGTGAGTGAGGTGAAAGTGTTGAATGATGATTAAAGTAATTTCTTTTTGGGGATTTTCTTTCTTTTTGGGGATTTTCTTTCTTTTTGGGTCACCCTGCCTCTGTGTGAGATGGCCGACTTGTTAAAAAAAAAAAAATGATCAAGACAGATCTGCATCTCGGGAGGCAGTGAAAGGGTTAAGGCTCTGTGAGTATAAAAATGTAGCCTCAGTATGAGATGGTTAGTGTGTTGAAAAAAAAATTAATAATTATAATAATCTTAATTTCTTCAAGTACATGTACAATGTATCCAGACCTAGCTGATATCACTGACATACTGTATAGAAAGCCCCTTGTTATGCACAATATTTCGGGCAAATTAGGTTAATTTTGTTTCCAGGATGTGACCCACATTAGTAGGCTAATACAGTGGTACCTTGGGATACAAACTGCTCCCAACTCAAACAATTATGTAAGTGTATTTTTGTAAGTGCTTTTGTAAGTGTATTTTTGGGGGTCTGAAATGGATTGATCTACTTTACATTATTCCTTATGGGAACAAATTCATTTGGTATCAGCGCTTGAATAGCCCTCTGGAACGAATTAATTTCGTATCATGAGGTACCACTGTACTCAGGTACCTATTTACTGCTAGGTGAACAGGCACAGTAGGTGTCTTTAGGAAACATGCTCTAATGGTTTCAGATACCGGGGGCTGAACCACAGTGTGTGAGCTGAGTGGGTACATAACTGAGCAGTCAGTGCTAAATAACTTACAAAGAACTTTTTATATATCTTTCATCTCTGTGTTGACTGGTATTTGTTTTTTATTAACAGTATGGCAGAAATGGAAAACCTAGCTCTGAATCAAATGCCAAAGATGGATTGGATATATGTACCTGCAGGGCAAATTATACCATTTTCCTTTGAGGGCCGTGGGAAGCAACGTCATCATGATACCCATGAACTGAAGGCTCATCAGTTATTAGTAAAGGTGGATGGGTGGCAGCCTGTTGGACCTATTACAGTGGATAAAGTTGGAGTCTTCTTCCGATTAGCTTCTTCACAACCTTCAGCTGCCACAGCACTTGTAAGTGTTGTCAATAACATCATGGCATTCATTGACTGCATCAGGGTTTTTTATCTCATGCAATCCTTTATATTTCATTTCTGCTTTGTTAAAGCTATACTGTATATATTTATGAATCATAAAGGAATTATGTAGTTTAATTAGCCTGTTTTATTCTTTGCAGTTAGTTTTTCATTTCTTTTTTTTTTTTGAGAAATTAAATACTGTACTGAAAACCTTTTATTTAAGCACATACAACAATACCTTGTATAGTACAGTTAAATTGTGTCAAAAATGTCATACTGTGTGATACCGTACTGAGTGAGGTATTATAATGTGTTTCAGTGTAATTTGTTCTAGTAATACGATTATGTATGTCAGATCACGAAAATATTTAGCAGTTTGCTGAGTACAAATCAGTTCACAGGAAACTCTTGCACACACTTGCAAATAAAAAAAAAAATGCAAAAGATTAAAATGAAAAAATAGTATAGTACTAAGGCTTTTTGTTATAGTTGTAAATAAACAATATGCTATGCATAAAGAAAAAGATCATTTTTATTTTGAAAAATAGTTGACCAACATAGTTTTCACAATTTTTACTTCTTTTTATCAGCATACTGTACATATCTTTATAGTACCGAATATCATTTTGTAATGCCTGCCTAACTCTGCCTCATTCAGTGTTTGGATCTGCTCTCATTATAAAGTCACAAGCACCTACTACTGTTGCAGTTAACATTGATAGTTCATCCAATGTTAATTCTTCTGTGGGCAGTACTACCGTTCTGCCAGGCGAGTGTAAAACGAAAGCCTGTAATTGTTTTACATGATGGTAGGATTGCTGGTGTCTTTTGTCTGTCTCATAAATATGCAAGATTACAGGTACGTCTTGCTACTTCTACTTACACTTAGGTCACACTACACGTTTATTTATACACACTCATCTGAGTTTTCTTTGATTTTATCTTAGCTCTTGTTCTAATTACTTTTCCTTTTATATCCATGGGGAAGTGGAATAAGAATCTTTCTCCGTAAGCCATGCGTGTTGTAAAAGTCAACTAAAATGCCGGGAACAATGGGCTAGTAACCCCTTTTCCTGTAATAATTACTAAAAAGAATAAGAAGAAAATAAAATGTATGTACTCTTATTAAATAGTAAATTCAGTAAACTTTAAAAAATAAACTTGAAAAAACCATCACAAATCAATATGCAGTCTTAGCCATAAACACATTCATTTCACTTGCACACATTGAGACAGCGATTAGAAAGAGAACACGGGCAGTCAGGTCCAATTCACGTATGTATTGTACATACGCAAATGTTCAATTACAGCTAAATTGAGTAACATTCAAAGACACAAAAAATATTACCAGTCACAAGAAAACTGAAGAACCATTCAGTACACAAAGACAGACAATGGAAATCAAGGACCCCAGTGGAAATAAGTCACTTGTCTGACTTATTTGGGTTATTCTAGGTAATTTATACACATGTTACTATGATAATTTGTGTGACTATTTATGTGTACCTGTACTTAAATAAACTTAATAATTTGAAACCCTAAGCAATGATGTAAGAAGAACAGAGGGAAATAGTCTTGTAAAATATGGTAAATAAAATTTATATTATTAAATTTACAAACCATTATTATTATTTTTTATTAACACACTGGCCGATTCCCACCAAGGCAGGGTGGCCCGAAAAAGAAAAACTTTCACCATCATTCACTCCATCACTGTCTTGCCAGAGGGGTGCTTTACACTACAGTTTATAAAACTGCAACATTAACACGCCTCCTTCAGAGTGCAGACACTGTACTTCCCATCTCCAGGACTCAAATCCAGCCTGCTGGTTTCCCTGAATCCCTTCATAAATGTTACTTTGCTCACACTCCAACAGCACGTCAAGTATTAAAAACCATTTGTCTCCATTCACTCCTATCAAACACGCTCACGCATGCCTGCTGGAAATCCAAGCCCCTCGCACACAAAACTTCCTTTACCCCCTCCCTCCAACCTTTCCTAAGCCTACCCCTACCCTGCCTTCCTTCCATTACAGATTGATACACTCTTGAAGTAATTCTGTTTCGTTCCATTCTCTCTACATGTCCGAACCACCTCAACAACCCTTCCTCAGCCCTCTGGACAACAGTTTTGTCAATCCCGCACCTCCTCCTAACTTCCAAACTATGAATTCTCTGCATTATATTCACACCACACATGGCCCTCAGACATGACATCCCCACTACCTCCAGCCGCCTCCTCGCTGCAACATTCATCACCCGTACTTCACACCCATATAAGAGCGTTGGTAAAACTACTATCATACATTCCCCTCTTTGCTTCCAAGGACAAAGTTCTTTGTCTCCACAGACTCCTAAGTACACCACTCACCCTTTTCCCCTCATCAATTCTATGATTCACCTCATCTTTCATAGGCCCATCCGCTGACACGTCCACTCCAAAATACAGTATCGGAATACATTCACCTCCTCCATACTCTCTCCCTCCAATCTGATATCCAATCTTTCATCACCTAATCTTTTTGTTATCCTCATAACCTTACTCTTTCCTGTACATATTCACTTTTAATTTTCTTCTTTTACACACCCTACCAAATTCATCCACCAACCTCTGCAACTTCTCTTCAGAATCTCCCAAGAGCACAGTGTCATCAGCAAAAAGCAACTGTGACAACTCCCACTTTATGTGTGATTCTTAATCTTTTAACTCCATGCCTCTTGCCAAGGCCCTCGCATTTACTTCTCTTACAACTCCATCTATAAATATATTGAACAACCACAGTGACATCACACATCCTTGTCTAAGGCCTACTTTTACTGGGAAATAATCTCCCTCTTTCCTACCATATTATATCAAAACCCATACTATTCAGAACCGTATTATGCAAGGCATTATGTACTGTACTTTGTTATTAACCCTCTCAGGGTCGGGACCCCTGCTTTCAAACTTGCTCTCAGAGTTGGAAAATTTAAAAAAAAAAATATTTTTTCTTATGAAATGGTAGACAATCTTTTTCTGGAGGTAATAAAACAAAAAGTACGTAATTTAATGAAAAAAACTGATGAAATTACGCTTTTGCAAATTTTGCTGTCAGCGATATTTATGCATTGGCAATTTTACTCACCTTGAGTCTGATTTTAGGCCAGTTACATTATTCCAGTCAACCGGAGTCTTAGCTATTTTGCTAGTATGCCTTCCATTCTTTCTGTCGATTGAGTACAAGAAACGGCCCATTCCACTATTTCAACTACCCAAAAAAGTCATCAGAAATTAGTAATTTGGCCAATTTTACATAAAATTCAAGAAATGTCATTTTTCAAAATAGTCCCAAATAAACAGTGCAGACATTCATGGTATTAAAATAACATTTCCTCTGTTCATTAGTTATGTCCCTATGCCTCTCCAATACTATGCATGAATTCCATTTAGAATTTTTATTCACAAAAAAAAAAAAAAAATAGAAAATTTACTGTTATGTAGACCAGCGCATTATTGTAATAATTGTTTAAATACTGTCAGTGAATTCCTGAAAGCCCGTTAAACTGAATAGATGGACACGTATTGGACGAGTGACATCATTTGTGTACTCTGGAATGTCGGCAAAAATCGAAGCTTTCCGTTACTTTGAGCTCAATTTCAAGCTTCTTTCCGCCCTGAAACCAATCAAAGTCATCTCTGTAATATATCTTCCACCCTATGAAATGAAACCAAGAAACTGAGAATATAACCATAAAAACCACATGAGCATACACTACAAAGTTGTTGTTTTAAACCAAAAACATGGTCGCAGTTTTTTCCCATTATGCACTACTTGATGCAGGATTTTTTTTTATATAGTGCACACCTACCACATAGACCCATTCTCCCACTTCTAGGCCCAAATTTACCACTCACAGCTTATCTGAGTGAGATGAGTTCATGGCATAGAACTATGGGACTGAATAACAAAAAAAGGCACAATACCGTGACTGGAACGATACACAAATAACCTGCACATAGAAGAGAGGAGCTTAAGACGGCGTTTCGGTCCGACTTGGACAATTTACAAAGTCACACTAACGAGAAGGAGAGCAGGATGGGTATATATAGGCAGGAGGAAGTAGTAGTGGTAGTAGTGGAGGTGGAAGGAGGAAGTAGTGGGGAGGTAGTAAGAGAAGGAGGGGCCAGTCAAATACTAAGAAAGAGGAGCACTGCAAGAGAGCTGGTGCCCACAGAGGGTAAGAGCAAGATCACTGAGGGGAAGAAACAAATAAATAGGTAAATAAAGAAGGAACAAATACACAGGGCAGAAGGAAGACAACCCAAAGGAGAAAAAGGAAAGGGAAAGAGGGAGAAGAAGAAAAAAGGAGGAATCAGGTTAGATCATGAGTGTTCTGAAGTTTGGAGCATTTTACAATGTAGTGAGAGAGGAAGGCATCTACTGAGACGAAGCCTGGACTAAGATTCATACAAGGAAAGTTGTGTATTAGAGAGGATTCAACCGGACGGCGATTGTTAAAGTTGGAAGTAGGGAAGACAGTTTTAGCAGAAGACCAGTCAATAGGATGGCTGTGATCTCTGACGTGACAGAAAAGAGCATTGTTAGTGTCGGCAAGCCTAACACTATTTTTGTGCTCCCTAAGTCTGTCAGAAAGAGATCAACCAGTGTCTCCAAAGTATTGAAGAGGATAGGAGGAACAAGAAATAGAGTGGACACCAGGAGCACCTGTAGAGGGAGGAGAGGTATGAACGAGATTTGTGTGAAGAGTGTTAGTCTGGTGGAAAGTAAGTGTGATGTCTGAGGAATGGAGAGAGTTGTTGAGATTAGAAAGACTGGAAATGTAGGGAAGGCATAGGACAGAAGAATTCACAGGAGTAGAGAGTTTGGGAGAGAAGAAATTATGTTTAGCATGTGAGAAGGCAGAGTCTATCACCTCCTGCCTATATATACACCCATCCTGCTCTCCTGGTTAGTGTGAAAAAAACCATACCATGGGCAGGGATAGAACCCGCGATCAGAGAGTCTCAAAACTCCAGACCGTCGCGTTAGCCACTGGACTAGCTAGCCACAATAAGATTCGTCCAACTAGGTATATTTCTACACCATAGGAAAGTTAGCATAGGCACCACTGTGACCACAAATGCAAGTTTTTGCAGACGAATCTCCAGCTAGCGTGGCTGTGATGAACTCTAGCTCAAGTCCCCTCAATTGTGTCATTACGATTTCATGAGTTATGTTAACGGCTTTGAGGGGACTTGAGCTAGAGCTCGTCACGGCCACGCTAGCTGGAGATTCGTCTGTAAAAACTTGCATTTGTGGTCACAGTGGTGCCTATGCTAACCTTCCTATGGTGTAGAAATATACCTAGTTGGACAAATCTTATTGTGGCTAGATGGTCCAGTGGCTAATGCGACAGTCTGGAGTTTTGAGACTCTCTGATTGTGGGTTCTATCCCTACCCGTGGTATGGTTTATTTGCAATCGTGTCATTACGATTTCATGAGTCATGTTAACGGCTTTGAGGGGACTTGAGCTAAAGTTTGTCACGGCCACACCAGCTGGAGATTCGTCTGTAAAAAACTTGCATTTGTGGTCACAGTGGTGCCTATGCTAACCTTCCTATGGTGTAGAAATATACCTAGTTGGATGAATCTTATTGTGGCTAGCTGGTCCAGTGGCTAATGCGACGGTCTGGAGTTTTGAGACTCTCTGATTGCAGGTTCTATCCCTGCCCGTGGTATGGTTTGTTTGCAATCATGTCATTACAATTTCGTGAGTCTGGTTAGTGTGACTTTGTAAATGGTCCAAGTCGGACCGAAGCATCGTCATAAGCTCCTCTCTTCTATGTGCGGGTTATTTGTGTATGGGACTGACCCTGGCTTCTAAGCTGTAGTACTACGATACTAACACTTAAAGGGTTAGGTTAACAAAAAAAATAGATTTAATTTTTCCCAGCAGATTTTCCTTTTCTTATTAATGAATTAATTTAACTGTGTACTATATCTAGGTACAGGAAGGCCCCGCTTATACAGCAGGTTAGGTTCTAGGCTACTGCTATGAAGCAAAAATAGCTGTAAAGTTATTCGTAGTTTTTTCCACTCTCAAGTGCATATTAAAGCCTGATAATATGTTTACTCTATCATATATTAAGTGAGCAGTATAGCTAGGCCTAAAAATGCATATACAGTGGATCCCTGGCATTCGATGGCATCGGTATACGTTAAATCCGGTATTCGATACGTTTTAACGCAAAAATTTTGCCTCGCCACTCATTAAAAAACCCGCCACACACGATTCGTCCGGGACGCGTCCACGTGAGTGCCAGTATTTACAAGCCAGCCAGTGTGCTTGCATCTAAGCATACATTCGGTACATTCCATATTATCACAGTGTTTTTGGTGCTTGTTTCTGCAAAATAAGTCACCATGGGCCCCAAGAACGCTTCTAGTGCCAACCCTGTGGTAAAAAGGGTGAGAATTAGTATGGGAATTAAGAAAGATTTTAAAGGGTTTGGGGCTAACCCTGAGAAGTCTATGCCAGTTGTGGAATCCATTGTGCCTGCTTCAAAAATTAAGGAAATGTGTGCAAAGTGGGTTGAACTGCAAACCTTTATGGATGAAAATCACCCTAACACAGCTATTGCAAGCCGTGCTGGTGACTATTACAATGACAATGTTGTGGCCCATTTTAGACAAATCGTAAAGGAACGGGAGGTACAAAGCTCTATGAACAGATTTGTTGTGCGACAGAGGTCCAGTGACTCTCAAGCTGGTCCTAGTGGCATTAAAAGAAGGGAAGTAACCCCGGAAAAGGACTTGCTACCTCAAGTCCTAATGGAAGGGGATTCCCATTCTAAACATTAACAACTTCGACACTCTCCCCTCCTCCCATCACATCAATCATCACCAGATCTTCATTAAAGGTAAGTGTCATGTATTCTATTGTTAGTAGAGTACTACTAACTGTGCATGTCTTCAGTTTGTGTGCATTAAACTTAATATTTCATGTGGTAAAACTTTTTTTTCATAGTACTTTTGGGTGTCTTGCACGGATTAATTTGATTTCCATTATTTCTTATGGGGAAAATTAATGTGCCTTCCGATAATTTTGGCATACGATGAGCTCTCAGGAATGAATTAATATCATATACCAGGGATCCACTGTACAGTACAAATATTTTTCTTCCTTAGCTTTGCGTGAGTGGTAAATATATTTATTGTAGGAAGTTTTAATAAATGAAGAATGGGTATAATTGAAAATTGTTGTATTAGCATAACTCTGTAAAGTGAACCACTGCAAAGTGGGGCCTGCCTGTACCCTATGGTAGTATCCTGAAGATTTTTTTTTTATTTATATTTGCAGAGTTATGAACTACCAAGTGCTCGGGTGATAGTTGCAGTGACACTTGATGGATCAGCTCGAAAATTAGTAACTGTGAGGTCAGCCTTGCTTCTTACAAATCTTTTGAATTGCCCAGTTGACATTCAACTGGACAACTCTGCTCTTAGTTTTGGAGGTGAGTAACAATATATAGTACAGTAAGTACACTTGTTAAAGTTATTGTGCTGTATGAAAATATTGTTTAGTGATATAGTGCAGTACATAGTAAAAACAATTAAGGAATATAATTTTTTTGTCTATTAGCTATTTTCAACAAAGGAAGGAAATGCATATGTTTTCTTTTTTTGTTTCATTAGCCATTGATTACAGGGGATGAAGTAACCCATTTCTTACTGCTGCTATTTTATTCACCTTTTATGAGATACATATGGCATACATGGTCAAGGTTCTGACCAATTTCCGTTCTTGAAAAAATATAAAAATATGTTCCAATCTACTTGGCTATATGTGAATGGTGTGTTTCATGAGAAAACTGTGCAAAGCAAATCTGCCTAGTAGCAAATACCAACTTTCTCTAATCCTAAACCACTCTTAACCATGATGAGACAGATGTTTGGCAGTTTACATAATTAAAGTCCAAAATTTGTCCATTCCCTCTTCCCCTGTAATCAATTGCTTTACATTACTTTTAATCACCCTATATTTCTTGTTATCACCCGACATCCCTTGTTATCGCCTAGCATCACTTTTTACCACTTTACATCTTGTGTAATCACCTTGCATTATATGTAAATCACCTTACATCATGTGTAATCATCTTGCATCACTTGTATACCCTGTATTACTTGTTAACACTTAGCATCACTTAATACTTGGCATTACTTATCACCTAGCATTACTTATCACCTAGCATCACCAATAATCACCTTGTATCACTTATAATGACTATTAGTTCTCTCTTTCCCTCTCAAGTGATCCCATGCAAATATTTCATGTTAACCGCTTAACCACCCAAAGGAGCATAATGGTAATACGTAGTACAGTAGTTGTGCAAAAGCCAAATTTCAAATACAGTGGACCCCCGCCTAACGATCAGCTCCCAACTCGACCAATTATGTAAGTGTATTTTTGTAAGTGCTTTTGTAGGTGTATTTTTTGGGGTCTGAAACGGACTAATCTAATTCACAATATTTCTTATGGGAACAAATTCGGTCTATAACGGCACCCAAACAGACTTCTGGATTGAAATAATATCGTTAGGCGGGGGTCCACTGTACCAAAGTTTTACAATTTTTGTGCTGTGTAAATGGGGAACATCAAACCAGACTGTACTGTATCTTTTGTTAGTGGGGAGGGGTCGTAATTTTTTAGTACATAATTATGCAGCTGTATTAACCATTTGATATTTTGATCGTGAAAAGACTTTGGTTTAAGAGTGAAATTTATACCCAAGGAGACTTTCAGTGGTAACTCTCCTATGTCTTAATAAAAATTGTTACTTTTTTGTACAGTAGGACCTCTTTTACCCAGAATTCTGTTATTTGAAAATACCTAGCATAGGAAACAGTCATGAGCACCCACCAATGTTGCTAACTGAATATTCTTCTATCTTAAATTGGTATCCTGTTTTGCTGTAGCTACTTGAAATGTGGCATTATAGTATTCCCATGCACCCTTCCCTAGATATTTTGGCCATTTTTTTTTCTGGTATTTTAATTTCACAATAATTGTGAATCAGAAAAACTATCTGAAATACCATGATTTTCATCATTTCAGTGAAAAGAGGTTCTAATGTATTGGATATAATCAATTATATTTTCTTTGGTGGCAATTAAGGTTGAAAATTTTAAAATATACATGACTGTTAAATTTTTCAAAGGCTTAATGGAATTGTTACATATTTCAGTATTACTGGAAGCTAAGAGAGAGGTTGGAATATAATATAATTCCAGATTTTTTTTTGTGGTAGCAAAATATATGTTTTACATAGTTATTTAAGTAAATACCTGTACTAATCATTTCAGCTTCAACCCAGCTAATCAAGCGAATGGCACCAGGTTCTACATATCCTGTGCCTCTCAAGTTTGTAGAGTTACAGATTAATGTTCGGCCTGTTCCTGACCGCTCCAAAAGCGTCTTTAGTTTTTCTAACAAGCCTGTGTTTTGCACCGGTTTACTGAAATTGGGATGTTTAGAAGGGGGTGTCAGACAAAGTCATGCCCTCAACAACAATAAGGAACATCCATTTAGGTTGGTTCTTAGTAGGCTGTGCACATCCACCAATCTTGGTTATGCTTCTCCTTTCTTGATTCAAAAAAGATTGAGAAATATCTTCCTCAGAACATATGTAATCGGTAGCAGATGAATGAAGAGTATTTTTGCCTCAAATTATTAACTGGTATTTTCATTTAATGTCATTATGCTGTATACAGAATTATTGAAGTGATAACTGTAAGGTGTTGCATTAAATAAGGGCAACATCAACAACAACAAGATTTTAGGGAAAAAAAAAGTCTTAAAAAACTATGTACTGAAACCTCCTGTACTCCCTCCCTCCACCATTCCTGGGATGATCCCAACCCCTAATTCCTTTCAGCTCTGATTTATACATCCTTTTGGTCATCCTAGTCTGCTCCACATTTTCTAAATGTTCTAACCACCTCAACAACCCCTCTTCTGCCCTCTAAATTATACCTTTGTTACCTTGTACAGCCTCCTAACTTCTACTCATCTGCTCTTTGAGAAGCTTATCAAGGAGAGAAGTGATCTCATAAACAAGAACCAGCAAGGGTTTAAGAATGGCAGATCTTGTACTAACTTGTTGGAGTTCTGTGACAAGGTAACAGATATGTGACTTCACTTTTTTAGACTGAAAGAAGGGATTTGATACTGTACCCACAAGAGGGTAGACCAAAATCTTGAGATTCAAGTGGGAATAATAGATCAAAGAGTATCTTAGGGAAAGGAAGCAAAGAGTACACAAATAACCCATATGTAGGAGAATGAAATTTATAGCATCATTTTGGTCTGACTTGGACCATTAACTGTTCCAAGTCAGACTGAAATGTTGTCATAAGTTTCATTCTCCTATGTACAGGTTACTTGTATATTGTTGCAATCATGGTATTGTGCCTTTTTATTCTTTAAGCAAAGAGTGACTCTCTGGAGAAAGACATCAGAATAGGAAAGAATAACTAGCAAGGTTCTACAAAGATTGTTATGAGGACCAGTACTTATGGTTTATCAGAATGATTCAGATATATCCATCTTTGCTGATGACATAAAATTAATGAGGAGAATAAAAACATGAGGACAAGGAAAGGTTCCAAAGGGATCTGGACACATTGCAAGAGTAGTCAGATAAGTGGTTGCTTGAATTCATCCCCCAGTAAATGGAAGGTCATGAAGATTGGGAAACTATTAAGAAGTCCTGAAATCGAGTACAAACTAGAGGGACAGAGGCTGCAGAATTCACTCAAAGAGAAATTTCTAGGGGCGAGCATAGTGTCCAGTATAATGCCAGAAGCTTATATCAGTCAAATAACCTCTGCAGCCAGTGCTTGTCTAGCAAATCTTAGAGTAGCCTTCAGGAATCTCAAGAGTCATTCCAGGCCTTCTGGGCCCTTTATACAGCAAACGTTAGGCCCATCTTGGCGTATGCAGCACCAGTATGGAACCCACACCTGGAAAACCACATCTAGAAATTGGAGAAAGTACAGACATATGCAACAAGGCTTGTTCCTGATCTAAGGGGAATGAGCTACAAGGATAAACTAATGAAATTGGTCTTAACAACATTGGAAGATACAGGAACCAAGGCAATTGAAAAGGCAGATAGGGATAGGCTGTTTGAGTGGCCAAAAATGGGAACTCAGGGACACAGTTGGAGGTTAAAGGCACAGTTGAGACAGGGATATTAGGAAGTATTTCTTCAGTCTCAGAGTGGTTGGAAAGTGGAACAATCTGAGTGAGGAAGTGATGGAGGCGGGCTCAGATACGTAGTTTTAAGAGCAGGTACAATAGGGCCCACAAAGCTAAGAAGGAGTAAATCTGTAGAATGGCAAGTTAAGAGGCAGGGCAAGAAGCTGAGAATTGACCCCTGCAACCACAAATAAGTGAGTGCACACCACACACCAGTACATATACACCCACACCCCCACAACTCCCACTCCGACATGTCTCCCACCTGCAGAGGCAGGGCTAGGAGCTGTGACTCTACTCCTGCAACCACATATAAGTGAGTACACACAAACATTCATTCATATTTAAGAGAGAGGGATGCATGTATTTTATTTCACATATACAAAAACTGTTAAAGGATGGTGTGTTTTACCAACGTTTAAATGTTGGCATTGCCCTTATCATGCTCAGCTTCACATTTTTTCTGAAGACTTTAGAGTACATTATTTAGTGTTGTTGGTTGAGAGCATTGAACAGTAATAAAGAATGGAAAGGTTTAATTAATGTGGTGGATGGTTGGTGATTTTACTGCTGATTTGTCACAGATTATTGGTGTATGTATACAACAATAGCATGATTGCATGCAAAGAGGCTCTCTTTTTGTCTAGGTATCAGTATGTTTACTGTTAGGGTACAGTGGACATCAAGATGTTTCTTGCTACATTGCTTGCAAAACCATGATAAAATTAATTAAAATTTTATTTATAAAGTATTGTATTGCATGTGTGTAAATTTTATATACTGCACACATACGTACATGCATACTCTGCACACACATATATATATATATACATACAGTGTATTCATGTATGTAGAGCATGTATGGATATAGGTGTGTGTCTGTATGTATGTAGGTGTGTGTATGTATGTACAGTATATAAGTATTTGGGTATACCATTTACATAATTTTTTTTTTTTTTGGGGGGGGAGGGGAGAATGGAGAGGGATAATATGACAGAAGGGGTATATAAATCTGAGGCAGAAGGTAGAAGGGGTAGGGGTCGATTCCAGGAGCTTTTAGAGGGAGGACTAAAGGAAGATTTGAATTTTCGGAACTTGAGAATCCAGCAAGCTTGTGTGAATGTTTGGTTTGGTTTTTTATTTTCTATTTATATCGCTAAAATTTTGTCACTATTTGCAGTGGCATGTATTCATCAAAATTATGGTAAACAATGCTTATTATATTAATTTCTTTCCTTCATAATTAAAATATCTGTTTAGTTAACATTTTTTATTGTAATCATTATTACACTCTGTATTTTTATTATTTGTGTCTCGGTGAACTTAACCTGGTGCAATAAAGGGCAAGACTTTTAAAACTTACGACAGAAGTGTTTGCTGCTGAAAATTTGTTCCTGAAATACACATTAAGTTTGCAGCAGCAACTTTTGCAGTCTTTAGGATATAATGATTTGTCACTGCCACATATAAGATAAAAATAATTTAAAATATTCTCCATGGGAAGTGGAATGGAATTTTTCCTCCATAAGCCATGCGTGTCATAGGAAGCAACTAAAATGCCGGGAGCAAGGGGCTACTAACCCCTTCTCCTGTATTTTTTTTTTTATTTAACAAGTTGGCCGTCTCCCACCGAGGCAGGGTGACCCAAAAAGAAAGAAAAAATCCCCAAAAAGAAAATACTTTAATCATCATTCAACACTTTCATCTCACTCATACATAATCACTGTTTTTGCAGAGGTGCCCAGAACACAACAGTTTAGAAGCATATACATATAAAGATACACACCATATCCCTCCAAACTGCCAATATCCCAAGCCCCTCCTTTAAAGTGCAGGCATTATACGTACTTCCCAATTCCAGTACTCAAGTCTGGCTATATAAAAATAACTGGTTTCCCTGAATCCCTTCACTAAATATTACCCTGCTCACACTCCAACAGATTGTCAGGTCCCAAATACAATTCATCTCCATTCACTCCTATCTAACACGTTCATGCATGCTTGCTGGAAGTCCAAGCCCCTCGCCCACGAAACTTCCTTTACCCCCTCCCTCCAACCTTTTCAAGGACAACCCCTACCCCGCCTTCCTTTCCCTGCAGATTTATACACTCTCCATGTCATTCTACTTTGATCCATTCTCTCTAAATGACCAAACCACCTCAATAACCCCTCTTCAGCCCTCTGACTAATAGTTTTATTAACTCCACACCTTCTCCTAATTTCCACACTCCGAATTCTCTGCATAATATTTACACCACACATTGCCCTTAGACAGGACATCTCCACCGCCTCCAACCGCCTCCTCGCTGCAGCATTTACAACTCAAGCTTCACACCCATATAAGAGTGTTGGTACCACTATCCTTTCATACATTCCCTTCTTTGCCTCCATAGATAAAGTTTTTTGTCTACGCATATACCTCAATGCACCACTCACTTTTTTTCCTTCATCAATTCTATGATTAACCTCATTCTTCATAGATCCATCTGCTGACATGTCAACTTCCAAATATCTGAAAACATTCACTGCTTCCATATTCCTCCTCTCCAATTTGATATCCAATTTTTCTTTATCTAAATCATTTGATACCTTCATCACCTTACCCTTTTCTATGTTCACTTTCAACTTTCTACCTTTACACACACTCCCAAACTTGTCCACTAACCTTTGCAACTTTTCTTTAGAATCTCCCATAAACACAGTATCATCAGCAAAAAGTAACTGTCAATTCCCATTTTGTATTTGATTCCCCATAATTTAATCCCACCCCTCTCCCCAGCACCCTAGCATTTACTTATTTTACAACCCTATCTATAAATATATTAAACAACCATGGTGACATTACACATCTCTGTCTAAGACCTACTTTGACTGGGAAGTAATCTCCCTCTCTTCTACACACCCTAACTTGAACCTCACTGTCCTCATAAAAACTCTTTACTGCATTTAGTAACTTACAATCTATTCCATATACTTGCAACATCTGCCAGATTGCTCCCCTATCCACTCTAAATCCATAAATACAATGAAAACTTCCCTACCTTTATCTAAATACTGTTCACATATATGCTTCAATGTAAACACGATCTACACATCCCTTACCCACTCTAAAACCTTGCTCATCCGCAATCCTATGTTCTGTCTTGTCTCTAATTCTTTCAGTAATAACCCTACCATACACTTTTTACTGGTATACTCAGTAAGCTTATTCCTCTATAAATTTTACAATCTCTCTTGTCCCCCTTCCCTTTATATAAAGGAATTATACATGCTCTCTGCCAATCCTTGGTATGTACCTTCCCCTCTCTCATACATTTATTAAACAAAAA